ATTAACACTGATTTCTTGTATGTCACCCTGATGTGTTGGGATCCTCTGCTATATACTCCCACATCGTCATGTCCTATTTATTATTGATTGATTGATTGATTTTGGGAAGTCCTGTTTTATTTTATTTTAGGTTTGGGTGTGGTATATGTGCAGGTTTGTTGCGTGGGTAAATTGCGTGTCTCTGGGGTTTGGTGTATGAATGTTTCCATCACCCAGGTAGTGGGCATAGTACCCAATCAGTAGCTTTTCAGCCCTCGTCAGCCTCCCACCCTCTCCCTCTAGTAGTCCCCAGTGTCTATAGTTCCCATCCTTTTGTCCACATGTCATGTTCTATTTATTAAGAGCATCCCTTGCAATTGCTTAATTATTTATTCATAATAACTTGCTGAATGACTTTCATGCCAAACTTCAGATTCCACAAGGGGACACCTTTGTTTCTTTTCCTAGCCTATATCCATATATTTCAGCATTGTGCTTGGTTTTGAGTAGGTGCTCAATAAACAGGGTTGACTAAAGTAATGGGTTGGTGCAAAAGTAATGGCGGTTTTTGCCATTACTTTCAATAGCAAAGATTGCTATGACTTTTGCACCAACTCAATATGGAACTGGAAGCCCCATTCTAATTCTCTTTTATAATTCTAGTGTGCAATACTTTTTAGGCTTCTTAGAGGGGAATTAGGATGGGCTGCAGAAGTATTAGGGAAAGACTCAACTTGAGGGTGATTGGAGGAAGGGATGTAAGCAGGGTGTATTTTCTCCCACATCTCTTTCAATGACATCTTTTCTTTCACAGAGGACGACAGTCAAGGGACACAGGCAAAAGTGGATATTTGGGTGAGTGGGGTGAAGCCTGGATTTGGGAAACAGCTGGTATGTATAACTATGTCATTCTCCTACCCAAACATTAACATGTCTTCCTGTGATTTTTAGGGCAGGGTAGTTCTATCCAGGGATAATTTTGTCCTCCATTCCAAGGTTATCTGTGAATGTCTGGGGACACTTTTGGTTGTCATACCTTCGGGGTGATATGTGTGACTGGCATCTGGTGGATAGAGACCAGGGATACAGCTCAACAACCTACAGTGCCTGGGACAGCTTCCCACAATTAAGAAGTTCCTGGTGCCACATGTCCATAGAGAAAAAGAAATACGAGGGTAGGGGGAAAGTGCCTCAGCTGTCATTCAAAGACCTGCATCAAGCACCTAGATTCTCAATGCCACACGCACCTTGTAGCACCTTAATAAATATCGTTGCCTTCTGGGCTCCCCACTCCAACACTTGTGCATATTCCTTATTTCTTACATTTCAGTGAGAGTCAATCTAATTAGCTTTATTTTTTTGAAGGAAAATCTGAGAAGAAATGGAAGCAGAGAAGACATTGCAAGACAGGCTACTCAACTAATTCAGAGAGTGGAGTTGAAGATCTGGAATGACAGTTTTGCTTCTCCAGGAAAGGGTCGAATTTCTGACTTAGATGTAGGTAAGAGAGGCTGAGTAGAGTCTTTATCACCCTCCGTAAAGACCATTAAGAGGTCTGGGTCCTGGCTTTGCCAGGGTTTCTGAATGATGAAATCTGTGGGTTTCCAGGATCATAGACCCTCTACACCAACATTCTACATGAGAAGGACTCTGTTTTCAAAAATGCAAATTCAAGGGACAAGAGAATAAACCAGCTCTCGTCTTCTTTTCAGCTTCCCTTGGTATGATGGAAAGTATTTAAGAGCATATTCACCACGCCTCCATAGCTAGAGGATAGAAAAAACCACGGTTATTTTCCTACTCTACTCTCACATAGTAACGAGAACACAGAATACTTCATCTCTGGTCACCAAAATATGTGTGGGCTCATTTTCCACACTGATTGCACAGTTCTCCAGTGGATACCAGCTGGGTGTTCTATAATTCAATTATGACATTATCTGACATTCTCTACCAAAGATAGTGTCAGATCCCATAGGCTGCAGGCTTAATCCCACAAAACTGTTCTTCACCTCAAATGCCAATCTCAAGTTCTAGGTTGTAACCTGTACGTCCGACTGACAGGCTACACATTAGAGTCCCACAACCCCTTCCTTGGGTTTGAGTAATTTGCTAGAGTGACTCACTTAACT